TAGATGTGCCATTTAAGAAAGTCATGTAAGACATTATATTGCTATTGTCAACCACTGTGGGCCCTTTTTAACTCTCTCCAAATGTTCCTTTATGTGTGTGTGACAGAGTAGGAGATGTAATATCACTATTGGAATTATACAGCAATGCCCTTTAAGACTTGATAAAGGGGCAACCGAAAAATGTAATTGTGTTTCAATAGAGAGAAAGGTGGAAGGGATGAATTGAACTGCATGTAAAGGATGCATAGAAACTGAGGGCTTGAAAGAGGAGATAGCTTACTTGACAAGACATCCTAGGACACTAATGTTATCTTACAGGAAAGAAATCCATTTCACTGTTAATTTTGTGATCGTTAGTTTGCCTAAGCGGAGGTTACATTGCAGAAATGGCATCAGTCTCCAGTGATTTTTTGCCAAAGAAACTAAACCCTAGGTATAGACTGACATGACCTTTCAGCATTAGGAACTAGGATGCACTTGTTTAAACATATAAATCGCAGGAAATACTCTAGGGCAGGGGTGTCAAACTCAAGGCCCAAGGGCCAGATCCAGCCCTTGGAGTGCTTAGATCTGGCCTATGGGACCGCCCTGAAAACAGTGAAAGACTGGCCTGCAGTGTCTCTGCCTGCAAAAACAGAGCTTGTGAGAGCCGCAGGTGGCCCTCCTGAGCTCCATTTTTGCTGGCAGAGGCTTACAAGAGGCCATAGCAGCTGAAAATGGAGCTCGAAAGCCCATTTTCGCTGGCAGAGTGCTCAGACTGCCATAGGCACCCCCAACATGCCCCCAAACTGCACGGTTTGTGGGCACATATGTGGAAGAGACCCGAAGACCAGCTGGCCAGCAGGAGACACATGTGCATGTGCGGTAGACACCCAAAAAAACAGCTGGCCAGTAGGAGGTGGGGCATCCTAACACCAGCAGCTCTGCAAGAGGTGAGGTATTTTCCCTTCATGAGTTTCTGTTTCGTCGTTTGCAGGGAAACTTCTGTTTCCCTGCAAACGACAGAGAGAAATGCCACAGAGAAATGTGGTAGAGCTGAGCTGGGGCGACGGCGTGCCACCTTTGGCACACGTGCCATCGATTCATTACCACTGATCTAAGTTGTTTTTTGAATAGAATAGAGCTGGAAAGGGCCTTGGAGGTCTTCTAGTCCAACCCACTGCTCAAACAGGAGACCCAATACCATTTCAGACAAGCGGCTGTCTGTCCACTGACCGTCTCTTCATAAAAACTTCCAGTGCTGAAGCATCCACAATTTCTGAAGGCAAGCTGTTCACTGGTTAATTGTCCTCTGTTAGGAAGTTTGTCCTTAATTCCTGGTTGCTGATCTCCTTGATTAGTTTCCATCCATTATTTCTTTTCTTGCCCTCTGGTGCCTTGGAAAATAGGTTGACTCTCTAGTTTGTGGCATCCCCTCAAATACTGGAATACTGCTATCATGTCCCCCCTAGTCCTTCTTTTCTGTAGACTAGCCATACCCAATTCCTGCAACCGTTCTTCATATGTTTTAGTTTCCAGGAAGTTGGTGTGGGGCCTTGATAAAGAAGTTGCAAGCAGGAGGCAGTTGGTGCAGTGACAGAGAATGTGCCATCTCCGCTCCACTCTGACCCTTTAGTGTTTAGTCTGTATTTAACCTTTTGCAATTTTAAATTGTTTTTATATCTCTATTTTTATTATATTTAATCCCCTCAGAATAGTGAGATGGACAGCATGTTAAATAAACAAACAAACAAATAAATCCCCATGAGACCAGTTGGGTGAGAGAGAATGACTGGGCTCAAAGTCACCCAACCAGTTTTCATGCCAAAGATAAGGCTGGAACTCATGGTCTTCTGGTATCTAGTCAGGTGCCTTAATCATTAGACCAAACAGATGTTCTAATTTTCATTCTTTAGGAAAGGGGAAGAATGGGGAAAAAATGAAAGCCTTCTGTATTCAATTTTCTTATCCCATCACTACTGTGAAAACAAATGTTAAAATATACAGAGAGATGAATTAAGCATTATTTTAAACAAATGGCACTGTTGAAAAAAAACTTTTACACAAGCATCTTTTCCCATTTCATCATTTTAATATGACAGGAAACAAAGTACTGTGTTAAAAAAAACCTAGAACCAAAACAAATTAAAATCATTATAAATTCTACTTTTAGTTTGCTTCCAATGTAGGTACCACAATAAACTGCTAGCTTGGAATTTACTTAGAATATGTCCTACAGCACCACCTAGCAGGCTAATTGAAAAGTAAATTGTAATGATACTTTTAGGTACTCATTCCCAAACTGTAAAGCTTTTTGCAGCCAGAAGCTGTCACTGCTACTAGCTGAGACAACTTTTACAAGAAATTTGTTCTATTTATTTGTAAATTTAATGGCTACACAATACCTACATGTTCAGAACTTGGGGCCACATGTGAAGGAAAATAAATGGTGAGGATTCGATTATCCTCTTGCACAGAAATATTTGAAATTAAAATCCAGGTCTGTTTTTTCTCCACAGCTGCCTCTGTGGGGGGAAAAACAGTCCTACATGTTAATTCCACTTACTTCTTGTGCAAAACAGCAAAAGTATGTTGTAAAAACAACAGTTTGTCCAAATAGTTAAGCTACCAAAACCTAGGCAAACAAACCATTGTATGCTTATATTACAACAGAATTTAGTTTTAAATGCTGCATTTTGTTAAGTAATGAAATAATTCATCTAAGCTACCAATTTTTCCATTCTTCTCCATTCAAATCTATGGGCAGCACCAGTTCCAAAAATGTGATTTCCATGGGGTTTGGAAAGCTGAGTTGATTCATTATTAACTGGCTTTCAGTCTCAGAAAAAACACCACGAAGGCAGTTTTGCAGAATTTCCTCTGGAGCTATGGCGGAGCCAGTTTCTCATTGGCAGGAACTCTTACCTCATCCTACCTTCTGATTTATTCTAGGATTTTCTTCCTCCTCCTCCCATTTCCGCCTTTTCTTCTGGGATGGCATTGCTGCTCCATCTGCCCAGTAGGCAGTGGAAGTTTTAATGTTTGTTTACCCACCCACCCACCCTTTGAAAACAAATTGTGGAAAAGTCAGAATAAGAAAGAGGATAGTGTTCTATATTAACATTCTTGTAAACTCGCATTCTGATTGGTCCACACGGACCGCGACGTGATTGGCTGACTGAATTCCTGTGATTGGTGCGCTAAGAATCTACCACGATTGGCCGAGCCGATCGCGGGAGATTCAAAGCGCTGCCATTGGCCGCCGAGCCGCCGGCCGGCTGTATAAAGCCAAGCGGCTCGCAAGTCTTAAACTGTTCCCTCCTGTACATGCAATAAAGAGCTGAATGTACACTTTCGAGTCTCGCCTCTCAGTGTGAGCCGATCTACCAGATCTAACAGAAGGAGTGGTGATTGGCTGCCATTCTGAATAATCCCCAATGGCTAGCTTCAGAAAGCAATGGTCAGATCAGTAAGGGGAAGGAGATGATCCTTGACAATGTTAAAATGCTGCATATGATACCAGAGACTTGGGAAGGGGGAGAAATGAATGTTAAGGAAGGGGCCAAATCCTTCTCAAGTAAACCCCTGCCATTTAAGTCTCAAACTATAAATACAACAGGGCCCAAAACAGCAACCCATTTGCCCTGATCTAATATAAATACATGCATTGATTTGTAAATTAAATCATATTCATTTTTCTGTTTGGTAAGTGAGCCTCTCTCACATTAGAATACTATACAACAATGCCAATAGATGTTTATAAACAAAGCAAAATATCAACCATCACAAGGGAGCACCACTTGACTCTTGGATTGGTATGAACAATGTGATATTGGTTAGATATACTGTATATTTCTGTAGTGCTCTAGGATTAGTGTTAATTATGAAATGGGTATAAAAAAAACATAGTTTGCAAACCACAAAAGCTTAGTCCATATATAACACACTAAGGCAAAACAATTGTTTGGCACAGCCAAAGAGAATAAACTTGGGCAGTGTAGTTATGTGTATGTACGTATGCTAAAGCATGTTGATATATATTTGAAAACAATACTTTAAAAGGGATAGGAAGTGAGGAGAAAGGATACATTTATCTTGCTTCTTTTGCCTTGATTAAAACTTACTGTTTGCTTTTAAATATTTTAAAATATTTAAAACACAGCAGCAGAACTTGTTTTTTAACAGCAAGCGTGGGTAACTGAATCCACAGCTATATCCCAGATGAGTAGCATGCAGAAACATACATATACATGGACACTCAAGTTTGATGACATGGATCTAGCTGTAATGCTGCAAGGACCCTGGATCATTCCCATTCCTGATTTAAAACACTAATCTCATAGCTAGTGAGGATACAAAATAGATGAGCCTACCAAGCTCTCTTGGGGGGGAACTTCCTCTCAGGACACCCCCAGGGAGATAGCCTCTCTGTGCTAAGGAGCCCTTTACTCCTCCAAGACATCTGGCCATTTCCACAGCTGTCCACAGTAGGCAAAGCCGGGCCATTTTTCCCCCAAGCCACATTCCCTACCAACTTAACAGCTGCTTTTAGCTTCCCTCACCTCTAAGGCACAAGTTATATTAAATATGACATACAGTATGTTTGCAGATGATTACAGATGGTATAAACTAAAGATAATCCCAGGATAGGAAACAGATTCAAAGCACAAATTATAGCTCTCTGACTCCTCACTTAAGTTTCCGAAGGGAACTCCGAGTGGGGAAAGAAAACGAAAAAAAAAAAAAGCAACCCAAAGGTCCGGCTAGAGCAGAGCTGGGGAACCATAGCTCCTTTAGGATTTGTGGACTCCAACTCCCAGAATTCCTGCTGGCTCAGGAATTCTACGAGTTGAAGTCTACAGGAAGTCATAAAAGGCCTATCGTTTCCCCGCTCCTGAACTAAGCCTCGGGGCAAGAACTAAAACAATCCGAAGACTTCCTCGTCGCCATAGCAAACTCCAACCTCATCCGATGACGTCGTTCTCTCTCCGCGTCGCGGCACTCGACTTTTGCGGCAGCTCACCTGCTTTATGGTTACCACGTGTTTCCCCCCCTCCTCCTCCCCCTATGCTGCCTGGCACCAGATCTATTGAAAGGGATACGGTAAATGCGGGTTTCTGGGCAGTTCCTGTCTGTTCAATTGCGTGCTGGTGTAGAAACCTAGTATTAGTAGTATAATAGGTATATTATTCATAGGCGTCTTGATTTTCAAATTAAACGATAAATAACCCAATTGGGTGGCGACAGGATAAGCCCAAAGTGAAAAGGCTTTTTCTGTGTTTTGCATATAAAGTCGGATATTTAGAGAGGGAAGAGCTTGATGTGTAATGAAGGGCGAATGGACTGGAAATAGCTCTGAAGGGGGTTCTTAATGATGGTACAGTGTTTTATACTGAGTTGAGCTTGATGTGTAATGAAGCTTTATAATTGATGCTCCCTCTTGGATTCCCAGTGAGGAGTTCCATAGTGACTTGCAAAGCCAAAGAAGGTGAAATGTGAATAAAGTCCACGACAATTCAATGCAAAGATTATTTAAATAAGGAGATCCTTGAATCAGTCTTAAGAACTAGAGACTAGTTATGCAATCTGGAACATACCAGAGTTGTGATGTAATTGTTGTACTAGCCCCCCCCCCAAAAAAAAGGGGGGCGTTGAGGCTAACGTACTTTATGCACCATTGCAGCATTGTAAAAGATATATATATGCTTAAGTGCTTTAAGGCTATTAAGCTTCCTTGCTGTGGTGGCAATACCCCCAAAGAATTGTATGTCTTCTGACCTTTGACTAATTGATCCTGTGATTGATTTACTTTACTACATTCAGAAAGACTCATCTCTAGTGCAGTTGCCCTATGTACATTGCTTTTTCTCATAATGATCAGTTTAATTTAAAAAATTAAATTAGCCAGAATCACAGGGTTGAAAAGAATAGTAAGCCTGACATAGAAAGAACTCAACAAATGCAATAGAATAATGGCTGACAGATAAGCTTCTCTAACAAAAAGGTAAAAATGAAATAATATATTGTAATTATTTGCATATACACAAGAGAGGTGGGGGGAGAGAGAGAGAGACACTTGACAATTCAGGGCATTGCTTATGAACACAACCATGTGAGGCGTAAATTGAAAAATAAGAAATTAACCCAACATACTTTAAGGAACATTAAGGAAGCTTAATGCTGACTGGCAAGTGGAATCTGAATCCAATTCTTTTCCTCACTATTCCGCTTATTCCAGTTATATTAAATTCCTTTAACAATAATCACATCTATACAGTATATAGACTATGCATCTAGAAAAGGAAGTACTTCCCTTGGCTTTCTGCAATTGTAATTTGTTTTTGTAAGCACAAACTAGACTTATTTTTTGGCAATTGGCTTGCCTTCTATTGCTGTTCCTAGAGAACAGCTTGTACACAAAGTGTTTCAACTCTGTTTTCATTGCAATCAATCAGCATTTGCCTTCGCACACACAGGCACACATAGGCACAAACAGATACTGCTTGCTACTCATCATGGAATGGGAATTTGCCTCTCGTAAATTGCATGCATTTCAGCTGTGAATGCAGGCAAAAGATTACCCACTCGTGCCTGATTTGTACAGCTGTCTTAAATCATCATTATACAAGTAGTCCTTGATTTACAATCATTCATTTAGCAACTGTTCGAAGTTACAACAGCATTGAAAAAAATTGACTTATGACTATAACCACTGAGCATCCCTATGGTCATGGGATCAGAATTTGGATGCTTGGCAAACTGTGTGTATTTGATGGTTGAAGCATCCTGAGGTTATGTGATGACCATTTGTGACCTCCCCATTGGCTTCTGACAAGCAAAATCAATGGGGGAAATTGGATTTGCTTATTGACCAAGTGATTCACTTAAGAATTGCAGTGATTTGCTTAAGAATTGTGGCCAAAAATATTGTAAAGTTGAACACACTTCATTTAATAACCACCTGGCTTAGCATCAGAAATTCTGGACCCAACTGTGGTCATAAGTTGAAGACTACCTGTACAAGATTATAGTATAAATAGGAGATTAAGGCTGTACTTCTAGGCAATTATAAAGCACCTCTTTTAGACCATGCCTTTTTCTAGCCATGTCTTTTTCCAAGTTCTATTCCCAAAACTGTTTTAGGCTGTTTCCTTATGCATTCCTCTTTGCTGTTGAAAAGATGCGGCTGCTGTAACAGCATGAAAAAGTGTGCTTCATTACTGTATTCCTGCAGTTGCATTCTGGTTATTGAATACGTGTTACTTCTTTATCAGTTTAAAGTAATTCCACCTATTCATTGAGATTTTTCTTTTTCTGCAGATATATTCTTTCTTGAACAGAATCTGGCTGGAAGTTGAACATGGCATTTCATTCTTTCTGGAAAGCAGTTGCCATGATGGAAAAACACAGAACTGCTTTTTTGTCCATTTCATGTGCTGGATTGTTTGGTGCCAACTTGACTTTTCACGTCTTCTCAAAGGAGTTGTTCAAATCAATATATCAGGCCTGGGACCATGGAAAACCATTGGGGCTTTCAGAAGATTTGCAGAACCTGTTCCATAACATCCTCCATGATGTCAGAGTGAAGTCAGCAGATCGTTACGATGCCATTAAGACTTGCACGCTGCACCCCATAAGCGCTGGTCTACCATGGAGAGCCAAAGGTTGTGTGGTGGGCATCCCATATCATTTCAGTGATAGATTGAGTGGCGAACAGCAGATTGCCAAGATAGACGTTCAGCTTAGAGGCAAGAAAGTGAACTGGACAAGCCCAGAGGGCCTGGCTTTGAAGGATGCCTTGACACTTTCTTCAGAGGCTCAGAAGTTTGCCATTGCAAGAGAGATCATTGACTTGCAACAAAATAGGCCTTTAATATGTGCAACTGTTGGTCCTATTTGTCTGGCTGGGTCCTATATTTCTGGAGTAACTGTAAAGCAGGTCTTGGGTTTATATTATGCTCCAGTATTACTGCGAAGCATTTACAACATGGCAGTTGTGGCACTCGGGCTGATGGGCTATTGTCTGTTATATGACACTATAAGCCAGGCATTTGATTATAGGACAGACAGAAAGACAGCTTCCATTTCTCCCAGTTTTGCTAGAGGTGGGGTGGAATTCTACAATAAAGTTCTGTCACAGAATAAGGCTTTTCGGACTATCTTGGGTAATGAAGGAGAGCAAATATATGCTTCAAATGGTAATATTCTCCCAAAGTTCAGATTAAAGCATCCATCATATACTTCCAGAAGAAACTTCATTAGTAATATTTTAAACGCACACCAGGCACAGGAAAAACATGGTTGAAATTTAAGATAATAAATTATGGGTTGTTTTTTTTAAAGTTGCAGTCTGGCAACTTTTCTTAAAATGTCATTACTGTTAATATATAGTGGGGGGGAAGATTGGTGGTGGTGTTATCTGGTTACAGGTTTTCCATGGATTAAATTTTAAAAAAATATAAATCTCACATCAAAGGTTGTAAAAGTCTCTTATATCCATATTAAAATCCAAGTATTGCCTACCAAGTCATGAGGTAAACAATGGCGTTTCTTTTAACGTATATTTTTGAAAGAAAATATTTTATCTTTATTTTGTAAATATTGTGAAGAAGAAGAAAAAATAATATGCGTAGGTTGTGGTAACCATTTTAATATTAAATGGTGATAATATGTAAGCTGCTGTGTAAATGTTATGTAATGGTATTTGGGGGGAAAGCAAATTTATTACCTCAGACTGAAAAAATAGTTTAATGTTGATCACTTAGCAGCCTTCAGAAAGTTATGTATGTATGTATGTAGAGAGGTGGGGGGTGCAGTGGCTCAGTTGCTAAGATGCTAAGCTTGTTGATCAGAAAGGTCGGTCAGTTCAGCTGTTCAAATCCCTAGTACCATGAAACTGAGTGAAATCCTGTTACTTGTCCCAGATTCTGCCAACCTAGCAATTCGAATGCATGTAAAAATGCAAGTAGAAAAGTAGGGACCACCTTGGTGGGAAGATAACAGCGTCCTGGCGTTTAGTCATGCCGGCCACATGACCATGAAGATGTCTTCGGACAATGCTGGCTCTTTGTAACTGAGATGAGCACCGCCCCCTAGAGCCGGGAACGACTAGGATGTATGTGCAAGGGGAATCTTTACCTTTATCTTTTTTAAGCGCTCTGCGACTGCATCAGGCCCGCAGGCCTTGAGTTTGACACCTCTGGTCTAGCAGGTGCTGCTACTTTAATAAAAAGAGAAAAATACCCTAACAAGTAATTGAAAATCCATGCAAGGTAAAGAACCTCCATCATCTGATCTGTCAGCACAACAGGGGATGCAGTTTGTTGCTTTCTCTTGGCCACAGTGGGAGTTAAGTGTGGTTGAAAAGAGAAGCCAGGGAAGGAAAATTCAGCAGCAGGGGTTTTAAAAAGCAATTTCTGAACTTTGGCTTCAAAATTACCACCCATCCCTATCAATAGGTTATCTCTCTGTGTTGGCTGAATACAGCCCCTATTGAAATCTAGGAAGAAAAATAATAATCTTGACTTATGTAAAGAGTAAAGAAAATCACCTTGACAGAGATATGCAGGAAGCATTGCCTAGGTAAAAACGGTCTGAAGCTCTTAACTGAAGAAACAGTCAAGAAAAATCCCTGTTTGAATTTGCTTTTTTTTTTTTTTTTAGCTCTGCAGATGCCTTCTGTTCTGCTGAATGGGCATTAATTAAAAAAAGGAGGTCAAGAAGCATTAAATATAAGTGGCAATTGAGCCATTCATTTGGAACAATTAATCTGGCAAAGCAATAGGAGACATTTACAGTTATATGAATACAAAGTGATTGTGTTACTCTTGATGAATAGTTATAGAATGTATAAAATACCCATCCTTTAATTTGTTTTTGTTTTTTACATTTTCTGATATTTTAGAATCCTTAAATATGGGTGACCTGCATTTTAATGCTTTTATATGGCTAGATTTCTGACACAAATGTGGGATGTTGGCCCAAATTCATTCATAATGCATGAGGTCTTTACCTCAGCTAATATTTAAGGTAGTGATTTTCTATGATTTATAGTGATTTTCTTAGAGAAGAGGTGGAGATTGCTTATTTAGAAAATAATGTTTAGAATGGTAAAATCTATCACAGTTAAAAATAGATGATGACAGTTTGGTAAAATGGTAGTAAATATATCAGACTTGGAAGATTCTTTACTTTAGCCAATCTGAATAATAATAGTGGTTTTTCTCTTTATTTTGGAGATGATTTCCTGCTGTGATCTGTCTTGGGGTTGACAGAATTCTGGATTCAATACACAGAAAGCTAAAGTATTAGAAAATCATAAATATATCCTCTGTGTGTGTGAGAGAGAGAGAGAGGGAGAGACAGTGTGTGTGTATATGTACAAAATATGCATATATTCAGTAGGTTATACACACACACACAGAGGGGGGGGAACAGTTTTGTCCAGACTTACAGTAGCTATCTTCTAGGAACAAGAAAGCCTATATATAGATTTTTACTTACTTGATATGAATTGTTATGCTGCAGTGATCAGTGGAGCTACTCTAAATGCTTTTAGGAAACCAAGATAGGATATGACAGGTAGGTCATTGGAATAATATACCTGGGCATGGGAAAATGGACTAAGGATTGGAAGACGGACCTTCTGAGAATGAATGGTAATATGGAACAGGAAGGAAAGTTGTTAGTTCAGGATCTTGAATTATTACACTTCTTTGAATGATTACATTTCCCGTTAACCTCTCATTCTTTTTCCAGCTACTATCAGTTCCATTCCATTCAGTGTCAGAGGGAGATTATTCCAGAGCCCATCCTTCCAATTTCAGGGGTCATTTAATTTAACCTCGCCTTGTTCTTTGTCCCCATTTTCCAAGGTGTCTCGTTTATTTTTTTCTTCCATTCAGTCATGTCTGATGCTAGGTGACCGCCCGAAGTAGTCCCTGCAGTTTTCATTTTTCAGAAGTAGTTTGCCATTGCCTCCTTCCTAGGGCTGAGAGGAAGTGGCTGGCCCAAGGTACCCAACTGGCTTTGTGCCTTAGGCAGGACTAGAACACTTGGTCTTCTGGTTTCTAGACTGGTGCCTTGATCACTATACCAAACTGCTTCTTGGGCCGGTTTTTATGAAGAGGAGAAACAGAACAGAAGATGCATTGATATTTGTGAAAGAATATTTTAATAGGATGGAAATTTAAAATCATCAGGCAGCAAGGGTAACACAAACTCATTTCAATATTTTGGCCCCCTTCTGCTTCCTTTCAGAATCCATTCCATGGTTTATTCCCTGTAGAACTTCCACTAATTTCAATGGAGCCTATTCAGGGCAATAATCTTTTCTCAACTCCTATTATTTCTTAAGGCTGTTCACAGAGCTCCCATTATTTCCTATAGTAATTCTTATCCTTTGTTTTAATATGACCCTTTCTGGCAATTTCCCTTTCTATAACCTTTTTAAAAATCAGATTAATCTACATGGGTTCCGCAGAAGAGTAATGCAAGATTTTTTTTTAAGTAAATTGCTCTGTTGTTTTATGTCACAATATGTTCCAAATATTAGGGGAGGTCATTCAATGATTGACAACTTCTGTACTGACATTTTAAAACCCTAGATAAATGTGATGGATAAGAATACTGTCTCAACATTACAACAGAAGGATTTCTTCTCATCTGGGCAACCTTGGAGCTGAGTTTGTCCTCAGAAAGAATTGTAAAGTATTTCCATGGAAGTGGAGATGTTTAAAGTAGAATCAGTTGATGTCATCATTTGGATTCTTGGAGCTCTGTCTCCATGTAGGCTACATCTGAATATTTATAATAATGGGTGACAATTATGTTTGAATCATAAGTTTCAGACAGGGATTCTTGCTATTCCATACAAGAATTCAGTGCAAAACTTTTCAGAGAGATAGCTGTCTAGCTTCCAGTTGAACCCACATATTTTAGAATAATAAGGATAAAGTAAAATGTAAGGTAGGACAAGACAATTCAAGTCAAAGTCAAAACAAGACAGGTTTGGCCTTTTTCTGGATGATATTCCTTCAAGTATTCAAAATGAATTATATGCTCCCTTCTCAGTCTTTTCCTCTCTAATATTGAGACTTAAACATTCACCCAAAGTTAGTGGTAACTAACCTTTTTTGGCCCCCCTGCCGAAAATTACGTGTGTGCTCATGCATGCATGCTCGTGTGTCAGCACCCAGAAGGCAACACGTGCTGGCCCTTCCACACCCCCTGCGCATGCGCACGCAACCACGTGCATGCTGCACATCAATGCGAATGTGCATGCGTCTCCTGCGCACTCCTGCCCCCTGCGCATGCATGCCAGATAGCTGACAATCAGCTGTTGGGTGGCAGCATGCACACATGCGCAGTGAGGCTCTTCCGGGTGACCTCTCATGTGCCACTTCTAGCAAACATGCCATAGGTTCACCATCACAGCCATATAGTATATCTTCAAAGTAGGGGTGGGATTCTACCAGTTTGCACCTATTCGCTAGCACCGGTTGTTAACATTCTAAGCAGTTTGGAGAACCGGTTGTTAGAAGAAATTACTGGCCTAATCCTGTAAGGAAGGCAGGAAGGAAACATTCTGGTGTTGCTTACAGAAACTGCCTCTCTGTTAACCCTTATTACGTTCTTGGCAGGACTAGACTTCCTGTCTCAGGAACATCTCTGGAGTTTTTTTTCCCCTCCTTTGCTGGTACTTTGCTTGTATGGAGTGACCATTCAAAGTTAAAGTAGCGTTGAAAAATGACTTATGACCATTTTTCACACTTACGACTTGCAGCATCCCCACAGTCATGAAAGGCCAGGAGAGGAGATGCATGCCTTGATGTGAGTGATATTGAGCTGGCTACACCCAGCCAATAACATGACCACCAAGCCACACCCACCAACTAAGCCACGCCCACAGAACCGGTTATTAAAACATTTGAATCCCACCCCTGCTTCAGAGAGCTTTCTGAATTCTAGTCCCCAATTATCCTTGTTGCCTTTCCTGAAATTTATTCCAATTTTTCCCAATCCTTAAAATCCCACCCCTGATTCTAATTGACACTCATGTGTGAGCATTGTTTAAAAACAACACAGCTGTAGTCTTGTGTAATTTCTTTTCAGAAAGTAATTGTGTAATTTCTTTTCAGTGGGATTTATCTACAGGCCAATGACACATTGCCACTTGCTTTTCAAATCTGATCAGTAAATCTGATCTCTAAAGCAATTAAACCATTAATGTCCAGAAGATACGCTGCAATTTTTTCCATTTGGTCTAATCATGATGGCTGCTAATTTGCACTTTGTGTATACAAGCCTTTCCAATAGATTGTTGGAATTGGTTAAGGAAAGGCTAACTAATGGTTATCTTACCACCAGCTATCACCATTTTCTAGTGTGCAGTCATGATTTTGGGAAACTTCCTGTTGTCATGGATCCAAGATTGACTCACAATGATGAGACCATCCTCAGCATTTCCTGAACAATTCCCTTGCCTCAAAGTATAACCATTCTCTTTACCTATCTACTTTGAAAATGTGGTAAT